AGAGAGAGAGGCTGAATGGGAAAATTGAAATATGGGTCATATTGCGGCCGCGATCTATTTCACTGTTGGAATGATTTTTTTAAATTTATTGAGCATTTTTCCTGAAAGATCACAACAAAATCTATGAGCACTCCAATTTTCAGGTTTTTTCATGCATTTTTCTGAGCGCGAAAACTCACTGAGTTTGGAGTAAATTTTTAGCTGGCCCACACATGGTTCATTGGCGAAAATGAAAAATGTGCCGAATCGGTTCGACGATTATTTTGCAGTCTAAATTATTTTTTGAAAATGTTCTAAACTTTTTCCTGGAAAGAACATGACCTCATCTATGGATTTTCAAAATTGCAGATTTTTCTGCGGGTTCCTTCGAGCACACAAAATCGCCAAAGTTGCCTCTTGCAAAACACCTGTTTCGTTGCGCCTGACCTCCTTGTTTTAAGAAGACGAGCCTCAACGCCTGCCTCCTTGTTTTGAGAAGACGAGCCTCAACGCCTGCCTCCTTGTTTTGAGAAGACGAGCCTCAACGCCTGGGCCTGAAGGCCCTTCTGCAGTTCACATGCCCTCACTTCTTTTTGGGTTCCGCTTCTACCCGAGGACCGTTCCAACGCCCTCCACTTCTTTTGGGGGTCTACTTCTTGGCCCACGCATGGCCGAGTGGCAAAAATGGAAAATATGCCGAATCGGCGTTACGATTATTTCGCCGTCTAAATGATTTTTTGAAAATGTTCTAATATTATTCCCGGAAAGATCTACGGATTCTCAAAATTTCAGTTTTTTCTGCGGGTTCGTCTGGGCACAGACAATCGCCAAAGTTGCCACTTGCAAAACACCTGTTTCGTTGCGCCCCACCTCCCTGTTTGAGAAGACGGGCCTCAATGCCTGGGCCTGAGAGCCCTGCTGCAGTTCACATGCCCTCACTTCTTTTTGGGGTCCGCTTCTACCTGAGGACCGGTCCAACCCCCTCCACTTCTTTTGGGGGTCCATTTCCATCCAAGGACCGGTCCTTCCTTTTTCCAAAACTCCCGGTTCTACCAGAGCTAGCTGTAGGTAGTCCGCAATTTTGCCAAGGACCGGTCCCCCAGATTGTTTTGCCCCCTAAGAACCCACTTTGCGTCCTGGTCGCCCGCCGCCAAAAATGCGACACCTTGACACAGACGCTGAAACCCACTATTCCGCAGCCTTAGGGCTGCGAATAGATGCCTATGCCCGAATGTATTTCATATGGAAGAAAGGTCCGAGTCCTGGGAAAGATTGCAAGAAGAGGTCTATGGGGATGAATGCGTTGATGACATTCCTATCTTATTCGGGTTGGTTTATAATTTTTGGTCAGGTGATTGGGTAACCGTTAGTGAAATGAAAGAGGAGGAGATAAACTGTGTATTTTAGATAAAAGAGGGCTTGCGTATCAAAGGTTTAGTTGGTCTAGCGCAACACCTTGGACCCCATTTGATTCTGAAACACACCCTTCTCTAAGGGGTCAGCTTTCTCATTGTGACCCCATTTGATTGTGAAACATACACTTCTCTAAGGGGTCATCTTTCTGATTGTATGACTGTGAAAAACAGGTTGTCAAGAGCAACAAGACTTTATAAAATGGTTATGGCTCAGCAACCGTCCACCGCCTTCCTCTGCAGTTTGTGCCTGTTTGTTTCTTTTTTGAAGTTTTTATGAACAGGTACTGAAATTCTTTTTGAGAAGACATTTTGGGAAAATAATATTGGGAAAAAAAATGATTTTGGATTTCACTTCTTGCGCAGTTGCACCTGCATTTCCATATCTCCCCCCCACCCCTTTCTCTCCAGAATAGAATGCAGCCAGGACCAACAACGGGGAAAAAAAAAGAAGAAAAAAAAGAATGGAACGAGGACCAGAAGAGAGAGGAAGGTACTAGGGGCGAGGTCCCACTAGCAAAGACGATCAAATCAAATGCCTGAATCTGGACGTGTTTCATGCAGAGCTGTAGAAAAGCAAGTTAATCCCGATTTTATGCACCTCTCCACAAACACGTCCAGATTCAGGCATTCAATCCAATCCTCCTTGCTAGTGGGACCTCTCCCTAGGTGTAGAGCCACCGCTATGGAGTTCTTGGACATGGCAGATAGGCACTGCAAGGCGTCAGAAGAGAGAGAGGTCCAGGGATACATCTCCGCCCCCCCCCTGCCCACCAGACACATACGAAAAAAAACGGTCACGGCATACAGGCACTGCCGGACATCACAAGAGAGGTCCACAGATGCTTTTTTTTCCGAAAAGAAAAGGTCGAGGGAGGGAGATGCACGACTCCGAGCAGACGGACATAAGCACGACACTCGCACAACACAGGCCCGACTCGAACACATTCCAGTGGAAAAGCAGACACACGATTACGAAAAAAGAAAACATAACATAGAAGGCTGGCTTTCCCTTTTGGCCGTGGGAAGCAAACAGACCTGTCTTTCTTCCCCCTCCCCCCCCTCTTCAGGGGACCCAAGTGTGCTGTTGCTGTTAAAAATAACAAGCGGACCCGCCGCGGCTCCGCTTGCGGCGAGAGGAGCAGAGTTTGCGAGAAGGGAGGACAGGTCTCCTTCTCCTCCTTTCCCTCCTCTCGTTGGTGTGTATGTGTGCCCAAAAAAAAAAAAA